CTGACGGCTAACAAACCAGAGATGACCATTCCGGTCTGCCTTTGCTTTGTCGGATCCATTTCCTCATCCTATCCTCATAGTCATTATTTGACTGCTTGCGCGGGCTCTAATTGTGAGCTCCTGAGCAAAGCGGAACTTGAGTGTTCCTTTACCAGATCGGTGAAGCACATATATTCATAATTGTCATTTGTAACTTTTGTCCAAATGTTTTTCTTTCAAATAACAACAGCTCATGGAACAGTGGTCAGTGCTAAACACTGGGCTGCTTAAAACTACCACTTTATTCACGAAGAGTTTGATCATGAAGTTTCATTAGAAATGCCAGCTGTATATTTGGCGGTCTTAGCAAACAGGGGATTGGGAAAAGGTGTAAATCACAGAAATGTACTTTCTCATTTCACTCTGATCCTGCACAGAAATAACCTGTCAGATACAGTTACTACAACTTTTCGCGGTTTGTAAACCCAAGGCATTACTTCCTGCTCAAAGAGTACTTTCTAGTAAAGTTTCCTATGTTGGAAACATTACCCGCAAAAGCTGGTCTCTAGGGCACACAGAATTATTTTCGACTCAATGCCCTCTTCATCGACTTACATATTTTGGGTGTGAAAATCCAGAGCTTAAAATTCCTCTGAACGACTTATTTTAAGGTCATCTTGTTTCATTACAGAAACACGTGTTGTCTAAGCCTAGGCCACTGTTGCCTAAAATAACATTATTAGCTGTCCTAAAAAGGGGCCGGGCCAGTATTTACTAATCAGGGTCTTTTAACGCCTTCTAAGATATTGATTACCTGTCAGTGGTGAGTATAAAAGGAGAATTTGGGCCGAGAGAAGTGTCAAGGCTTTCTATGAATTCAGTAGATTCAAGAAAACAACAAGCGTCTTGTGGGTTATTTCTTGCAGAGACCTTAACGGCTCTTCTAGTCTCCTCAAAGAAATGTGCTTATTCAACCGAAGTTGAGAGACCAAATTGCCTTTTCCAGCGGGAATACTGTATAGCAAAATTATAACCTGCTTCGTGATTGAAAAATAAATTATGCACCGCAGTCTCCGCACTATGGACCGAAATTTCTAAACATGCTTTAGACTTGAAACAACTGGTAAAAATAGCTAAGACACCAGACCAAGTAATCCTTCGGCTGAACATACCTCAGCCTACCGAGGATAATTTAGTTGACAAAAATCTCCTATAGTAATGTACTTGTGTTTTCCACTGATTTTCATGTTGTCATAACTGAAATTATATGTTAATACAAAGTGTGAACAGTACCGAATTTACGGTGAAAATATTTATAGAGCGTCACCGAGAGAACACGGGAATAGTGATCTCCTACCCATGGAATCCATGTGGCCTTACACTTAATTCCAAGACGGGTAAATATTCCCCTGTCCTAATAGCCCAACACTAGCCATAATTCAACCATTAACCGCAACCCTAATCTAAAGCCTAATCCACATTCTACCCCAGACTTAATCCTAATTCTAAACTAAATTTTCCTGGAAGATAGCTCAAAGCCAGTTTTATGATTCGTGGTGTCTTTTCGTATGTCCTGCCTGAAAAGGCGAAATATGAGTAAGTCCTAGCCAACTTATTCTCTTTCTGTG